CCCTTATTCCTTGATTAATGGTTTAATGCAGCAGCTGTTGAGGCAGCAAGGGGGATGCTGGAGACCACTACCAGGTTGCTGCTGGGGGGCAACTGCAGCTAATTTTATCCTCCTGAACATCAAAGAGAACCCCTCTTAATTTGGGGTGATGGGATGGCAAATGCAGCTGCCAAAGGACGTGAGGGATGCCGAAAGGTGACTGGGAAGCGGATCCATCTCCTTGGCAGCCCTTTCATCTGAAGGAGCTAGGTTTTTTACTCATCATATTCTGATCTGAGAAAATTACTGTTGGCTTTAATTATGAAAAAGCCTTTTCCCCCCCTTCTTCCTTTTCTTTTGCTTAACTGATGAAGCCAGCATGAATAATTCAACCTGAAATGTGAGTGCCTTATCCACCGGGGAGCTGGCAAGTGATGCTTTGGGTTGCTTATAGAGGAGTTTGTGGCTTCCACGGCATGGCCATATAGCTATAGGCTGTGCTGCGTACCCTGCCTGTCGCTTCACGCCAGGGGTGAGTCATTGCTCCTTACCTTGAATTAAGCTGCAGAGCTGGGCTGTTCCCACCCTGGGCAAAGCCCGCTCCCTAAAATACTTTCCTTAACTCCCTACATTTAAGCAAAGTGGGGGTTTATCGCTTTGCATAGCCTTGGAAGATCTATCCAAAAAAATAATTTTTTTGTGCATCAAGGAGAGGAAAAAACTGCAAAATTATATAGGGGAGTGGTGGTGAACAAATCTACCCTAAAGAAGAGGTATAAAAAAATCCCTGTGAAGCTCAGCCTGATGAGAGAGATGCGCTGCTAAGAAATATGCGTATTACAGAAAATAGCACTGCTCTCTGGAGGGGAAAAAAAAAAACAAACAAACAAAAAAACCCCAAAATAACCCCAAAAACATCAAGGTGTTTGAGTTTTACCAGCATAAAACAAGTTTCATGGTTTAAAAATTGCGTAATCGCCCGCCCGGCTATAATTACAACACTGCAATTCTGCTCTGAGTATTGGCAGAAGAAATCGGAGCTGGGGATAGAAAAGGCTTTTGTCATTTTAGTGGCCAAATTGAAAAGAAACAGCTCTTGCTAACTTCAGACAAGGTGGGCTTTTCAAGCCTGTCATGATTTAACCCCAGCTGGCAACCAAGTACCACGCAGCCACTCGCTCCTCCTCCCCCCGCAGTGGGATGGCGAGGAGAATCGGAAAAAGGTAAAACCCATGGGTTGAGATAAGAACAGTTTAATAATTGAAACAAAATAATAATAATGAATGCAATGAAAAGGGAGATAACAAAGAGAGAGAGAGGAATAAAACCCAAGAAAGACAAGTGATGCACAATACAGTTGCTCACCACCCACTAATCAATGCCTGAGCAGCGATTGGTCCCCCCTGACCAGTTCCCCCCAGTTTCTATACTGGCCATTCCGTTCTCTGGTATGGAATATCCCTTGGGATGGCTGGGGTCAGCTGTCGGGGCTGTGCTCCCTCCCAGCTTCTTCCCTCCTCTCTGGTAGAGCAATTTTTATTTTTTTTCCCCTTACTAAAGGAAAAAAACCCAAATTCATGGAAATTGCAAAACAGGAGAGTACCCGGCGATGGTCGAGAGCCATTTAGCGGCCTGTCCCACGAGGGCCAAGAGCACGTGCCCTCCCGTTAGCCTGGTGAGGGCTCCTGGGCATTGCAACACTGGGACTAAAATAAGGCAGTAAATCTTCGAATACCAGTTTAGCACCCTAGCAGGGGGTTTTGAGGACTGGGCGGACTGGAGGGCAGCATCCGCATTCAATATCATGGTGTTTGCACCCTGCCAAGCTTGAGTAGTCGTATAATTTAATATTTTATTATGTTTC